CAGCAAACAGAATCACTTCTAGCAATAGAACAGCTTATCCAAGGTTCCAACAAATCAACTTATCAATTAAGCACGATATTAACAATAGAAAACAGAGATCCAACAGCATGGATACACAATTGCACAACAACATCACAATTTGAACGGATCAAAATCAACAAAATCCAATCGAATATGAAGATTAACATGATAAGCTCAAAAATTAAATCGGATCAAGAATTCCAACCTTCGAAGCGGAGATTTGCTTCACTAAGTGTTGATCAACTGAATTTGAGTAGATCAATTGCTAGAAATCCGGAAAACTTCAAGATCCACAATAATTGATGTCGTATGAATGAAGATCCACCAAATTTGAGTCGAAAAGCTTCAAATAGTCACTTCTAGATCCAACTCCAGATTCAGATCCAAGCTTGCACAAAAATGGAAGATTATAATTGATTCAATGGTGATGGTAAATGGAGGATTATGCTCAAGAATTCATTGATTCCAATGAAGAATCAATAATTCCAATAAAAAAGAGATTTGAGTGAATTTTTGAAATGGAGAAGTTGAGAGAATTTGAGAGAGAATTCTGATCAATTCTGAAAAATGGATGTGAGAATTGAAAATTGGATGGTTTGGTTTGGAGTAGATCACTTATATATGACTTAGGTTTGAGATCCAAAGCAAGGCATGGAAATTGGGTTGGAAAACAAGGCTTGGAATGTGGAATGGGATTTTGGAGGGAAATTTGAAATTTAAAGGTGTTCTAGATCCTTCCCAAATGAAAATTTGAATTCCAAGGTGATCAAAATTGGACCCCAAGTGCAATTGGCCTGAAAAATAACGTACAGGACAAATTATGCTATGGTTAACCGGTTAACCATATGCGTTAACTGGTTCACATTGTTAAAACTTCCAATCTGGGATAATTCTCCAATGGTTAATCGGTTAACCATATGTGTTAACCGATTAACACCTTCAAAAATTTGAATTTGGTGTCTTTTGGTGGGAAATATGTCCATTTGCCTGTTTCAACTGTCTGGAGCTCTGTTTAGCTGCTGAACCTCATTTTTTACCGTTCTCCCTGTGAAAATACTTGTCAGGAGCCTGAGTGCTGATTTCTGATCTGAAATTAACCTGCAAAATAAGAATAAAATCGGCCGCCTGACCGCTGGACAAAATAAATGCCCAAGCCTCTGATGCTCACTATTCGGTGTTCAATCTTCTGCTCTGAAATGAACTTGAGTCACAGGAACGCCTTGATCCCATGCCCCGAGAACGACTGCTATGCAATGCAAAAAATGCAAAAATACAAAGAAACAAAATCCAGTTACGGTAAAAACGAAAGATAAATTTTGGGGTGCTACACCTGTCACGAGGGAGAGTGTCCAGAAGGCCGGTCACGCCTGAACCTGTTGAACAATTACTCTTAAATATTCCCCAGTGGAGGTCGTCTCACCGGTGCCATCTCTAGTGAGGATCCCGTTATTACCATTCCCTTTCTAAAAGTGACAATCGGTCGTGCTCACACCAGTCGGCCATCACTTTAGGTTTCCCCGAGTCGTGCTGTTTCCCCAGTGCGTCATATTCCACAGTATTGGTTCATTCGTCGCATATGTCCCATGTGTCATCGTGTTGTCTGCATATTTGCATTTACCATTCCATCCTACGCATCATACTAGATTCATAACATTGTCAACATTATCGCTTGTTTTGTCCATAGCATTGCATCTCACTGCATCTAAGGGCAAAAATTTTGGTTATCTGTATTTAAATCCCTCCACCATGATTTCTCGAGCCTTTGTCGCTCAAATCATCTGGTGAAGCTATTTAAATAGGGGCAACTGTAATACTCCAAATTTTGCCCTAAGATTCGTCGTTGCATCTTGCATTCCATGGCATTTAACTAGTCACTAGCAAGTTTGTGTAGTTGGTGGATTTTTGCAGGAAAATATCAGGTGTCGTGCTCTATAGTGGTAAAGGGTAAAATGGTCAGTTGTTCGCAGCCGGCTGTCAATTTGTGAATCTGAGTTGTAGTCACGGAATTTGAGCCGTTTGAGTCCGTTGATGAGAATCGGGGCTAAGGATCAGAGGTTTTGCTTCGGATGGTTTAATCGGGAATATAATTTGATGCTTTATTTGGATTGGAAGAGTGTGGTCATGGGACAAATTGGATTTTATTCTGATAAGGTTGTTCAGTTGAAATGCCGGAGAGATTAGTCGGAAGTTCGTATTGGAGATGAGATTAATCGGATAAATCGGAGGAATTAGGAATTAATAAAAAAAATTATGGAATTTCATTTCATTTTTATTTTAAATCAATTGTATTGCATTTTACTTTCATTTTTATTTTTAAATCAATTTCATTTCATTCTATTTTATTCTCATTTCATTTTAAAACAATTCATCTCATTTTTAAGTTTATTTTCTTTTCAAATAACTTCGCTTTTGAATAACTTTATTTCATTTTAGATATTGCTCTCACTTCATGTTAGATAATTTTATTTTCCCTTTTTTATATATTGTCCTCATTTTCATTTTAAATTAATTTTATTTTTCATTTTTAATATTATTTTCATTTTATATTTTAAACAAAAAATATATATTTTAATGTTGGTTTTCATTTTTATTTTGCATAACAAAATAAATAAATAATGTTTTTAGTTTAAATATTTTAAAAATAAAGAATCTTATTATTAATATTAATTCTTTACAATAAATATATAGATAAAATTACAAAAATAGTAATGAAAGTTCCTAAAAAAATTTCTAAAGTCCTCCGATTCTCCGACTTTTCTGATGTTTTCTTTCGAACCTGCAAACTAAGCAAATGAATAAAATTTAATCGGTTAATTTTGTTCCGACACCCTCAGAACATTGTCATCATCGGGTGTGTCGGGAGGGCAACAGATTACTCCAAAGCCGACTCCCGACTCATTTCTCGATACCGGTAAATCCAGTAACTTCTGTTCTTATTTTAAGGTAACCAATAGAGAGAGAAAAAGAGAAGTGATTATGCGAAAAGCTGGTTCAAATTAGTGATTGTGAAAGAAAGATTTGGGTTCGAAGCGTTGGTGATTGAAATTAGTCGGGCAAGATTTGAAGACCATAGGGTTTTTCAAAGGGTGTGTCGTAATCGGAAGTTTATTCATCGCGTTCGAAGGACTTGATTCAGCTTGAATCAAGGGAAGAAAAGGAATAGGCTCTGCATCAACAATTGGGTTTGATTGTTTGAATTCTAATGCTTCTCTTGTAAACATTCGCAAACAGGATATATATATATATATATATATATATATATATATATATATATATATATATATATATATATATATATATATATATATATATATATATATATATATATATATATATATATATATATATATATATATATATATACAGGTCTCAATTCTATTTTTTAGAATTGAGGGCAGACGTACCCCAAGCGAGGACGACGGAGGAACTGCGTCAACAAATTGGTGTTCTCTCTTTATTTTTTAATTGCTTTATTTCTGAGTTTTTGTGGAAACAATTTAATTGATCAAAATTCTGTTGTGTGTAGTGCTGAACCATTTTTAGAAACCTTATTACCATCCTTGATTGTAATTGAATACTATAGCACTTCACTCACATATTTGAATTCACTTGTGATGCCTTCCACACCAAGTGTTCGACTGATTGTGTGAACACAAGGACTTGTGCTGTCTTTTCAATTGGGTTATATTTTTCACGCATTGGAAACAGTCCAACCTTATAGTGAATAAATTCTAGTTGGCGTGTATTCAAATTAGTGATTCTTAATCTCGTTTTTATCGGATTTCAAAGGCTTTGCGTATATCCATCTTTTCGGTAAAGATTCATTTTAGACGAATATAGTTACTCGATCGCTTCCTCCTAAAAACCTTTTAAAACCAAATGTTAGTAAGCGCCAACTCTATTTTTTTAACAAGTGATCTATTCAACCCCTCCTTTTAGATCTGTGTCGTCGTCTAACATATATAAATTTTAAAGTTGATCTATTTCAAAACGTACTTTAGAAATATTGTTTTTAAAAATTTATATATATGATTTTTTCAGTTGGTTGGTGTCATTTTAGATCATATATGAATTCTCTAACTTCTTTTAATGTATCGGAGATTCCTTAGATAAATCTCAAACTGATTTTAATTTAAAATTACTTTTAAAATTATTTTTAAAATTGCCAAACAACTTTAACTTTATTTATAAAGCTCTTATTTTAAAAAATTGTATTCATATTTTTATGTTTTTTAATTTCTTGATTAGTTTTGTCTTGTCGATTATGAAAAATGATCCTTTACAACCACAACATTTTAGATGCATAGAACATGAAATTGTTGATCCAAAAATATTAAGGGCTCTAGACATGTGGTTTGGTTGTATAATTTGGTGTATATTGTATTTAGAGAGAATCATAAGATAAGATTCATCCGGTCAGGCATTTCATATGTTAGGGGTCTATCAATTTTAGGTTTGGGGTCTATCAATTTTAGGTTTGTTTTATGTCATTTTTAATTGTTATTCTTGTCTACCATGCTTTTGTTAGTCACTGTTTTACTTTAGTAACAAAGAATGTTTTGCTAGTTTTATTTCTATTTGAAAAAATATAAATAAAACATATAAATAATAATTAATTTAATCTAATATCAGAAGATCAACTTTAAAATTCATATATAGATTCAAACTAATATCTTCTTTCAAAAATTAACATAGAAATTAAATTTTAAAAAAAAAAACTTAAAAACACCTTAAAAATAAATAGTAAAATAGTACCAATAGGGATTAAAAATTTCTTTCTAATTTTCTAAAAATATCTCAAAAATTCTTGTAACAGTTATGAAATCTTTAAAGATATGTATTAAATGGAACTAACATGTATTAAAATATGGTGTATCTGCCGACTATCTCTTCCCTTATCATAATATTTGCATTATTTTTGAATTATATAAGATAACATAAATACCGCTAAAATTGTGTATTGAAGCATAATCAAACACATGGAGAAGCTCACATTAAACTGGTCAAACGTCGAATCTGTGCCTGAGAAGTACATACTCCCACCCGAAGAAAGACCTGGTGATATCAAAATCCCAATCAGCCACAACATTCCAGTGATTGATCTCAGTGAAGCACAGAATGGTGATAGAACAAATACAATTCAGAAAATTATGAAAGCTGCAGAGGAGTTTGGATTCTTTCAGGTTATCAATCATGGAATTGCGGAGAATGAAATGAAGGAAACAATGAGTGTTTTTAAGGAGGTGTTTCAGTTGCCTGATAAGTACGAGCATAACTTGTATCCTGATGACTCTACTAAGACATGTAAGAAGTTTACAAGCTCTTACAATTATGAAACTGAAAAGGTTCATTATTGGAGGGAGTCTCTTAGACACCCAGCTTATCCTTTGGAGGAGTGGCAACACTTGTGGCCTCAAAATCCAATTTCATACAGGTAAATCAATAGTCAATGCTTTTTTCTAAAATTTCTCTTTGGTTCAAATATTAATCTTGTATAAATATTTTTGGTTGGTTTATGGATTAGCTAGTGTAAAATATTTTCTATGATTATAAAACGGTTTGTGTGCATAATATGTGAAAAGTTCACTTTTGATGAAATGGAAACTCAAGAATAAATTGTTGGAAGCCAAATGGATATAGATCAAACCTGTAAAGACCATTGGTGCATTTCTTTCTTCTCTTATATATATTTACATTTCAGTCATTTATTTATTTCTTTTGTATTTATATCTCTCAGTCTCTCTGATTTACATTCTTTTATTTATTTCGCAATCAATTCTCTATTTAATATATAAAATTGTTTTAAATGTTTTTATAAATCAAGATTTTTATAATTGTACATTGTTTTTCAACCTACACACTTCATCCAATTTATGTTTGTTGTCACTTGTTCAATAAATAATTGGTCATATACAATGATTCATGCTTTGTCGACTTCAAAGTTCAAATCTTCTTCTTGGAATTTTTTTTAAAATTAATCCCTGATACATAAGATAATGAAACTTCTAGTCTTATCAATCATATCAGTCTTATTTGCTTTTGTAAGGCATGCAGGCATCAATTCCACACCCTTAAATGCTTCAAAATTATTTTTGTTGAGTAAAGATTGGTTATATATTCACTTTCAACAATAAAAAATCATTGTCTTTCGAAAACTTTTTGATGTCTCATTTAGTACTCACAATACTCACTTGTAAATGTAAGTCATTTTTCGCAGATAGGTGTCACTTTATGTCAAATTGAAAGGGTCAACCACACTAAAATATCATTAAAATTTAACAAAAATACTAATTTAATTGATAGTTAGGATGTGTGGGACAAAGAACCATAGAAATCAATAAATAACCTAAAAAACCAAAATAACCTACAATAAATGCAACAATATCTCTAGCAAGCAAGATAAATATAGAAGAAGAGAAAATAGTGATAGAGATTAGGTATCTCCAATTTTTTTTGCAAAATTTCAACACTTTCCCTCAGTAAGGTTAACTACTAAGGATGATCACATATTCCGTTTATTTTTCTTCAAGTCACCTTAACAATAGTGATACATATACTTATTCACCAACAAGATGTTGTCATCCGACCACCACCCACTAATCTAAGGTCATTGCTTGTTGACATTTCATTACTATCCACCGCACATCAACGGTTACCAATTGACTATTGTTGCCCGGCCGCTAGAGTTTGACTTCCACCACCAAACAAACTCTGGTCAACGTTCTCTCCATCGTTGTAGACTGCCACCAATTCCTATCACCCGCCTCTGTCGTCCTATCGATGATAGCCACCTCTGTGGATTTGGCACCATCATGCATCGCCGCCGAGTCATGTTGCCCTTTCTTTTACAATGCCACTGTTATTGACTGCCCATTTGGCCACTCGATGAAATTGGTGTTATATTTAATATTTTTATAAAATCTATCATGATACTTTAGGATTGAATACTTTTTTTTTATAAGCAAATATTATTATAAAGAGATTAAGAAAATCTCAAAACAACAAGATTACAACCACCACCAAAGACAAGTTTATTATAAAAAATCGAACGGGAATTAAAATCATTCGTATAAACTACAATGATTACTTTTCTGTCTTCCTAATATCAACCAATTCCACGAGGAAACTTTAATATCGAAAACAATGTCATCTACTTCAATATTTTCATTATTGAAAATAATGTTATTTCTAGTCCTCCATAAAATCCAGCAGGAAATAAACCAAATTGAGTTGGTCTTGTTCTCTTTACACCGGCCCGAAAGTCTCGAGTTCCAGACCTTCGTATGAAGATCACAACAATCCTCCGAGATGTTCTCTATATCCACCCAGTCGTAAATCTTATTCCAAACCAACGAGAATTTAGTGCACGAGAAGAAGAGATGTGAAACGTCCTCGAAACTTGACGAATAGAACGCGCAATCCGAATGTTGAATTATCAATCACCCTTATTTTCATCAAGTTAGATCTAGTAGGCAGCCTATCAAGCGCCATCCTCCAAATAAAAATTTGAACTTTTGCCGGTAACACCGTTTTCCAAAGTATCTCCAGAAGGGTTGCGCTATCACTACCAAAATCGTAAACAGTGGCAGAAGAAGTTAAAGCAGTATAGAAAGAGCTTATCTTATACGAAAATGAATCATGAAGAAGTCATCTCCAATTATCGGCGACATTTTTGACATCCGCAACCTAATTCAACAAATTACTACAATCAGTCCATTTCAGTTCAATATTGGATCCTGCATCTATCAACATTTCTCTCAATTTCCAAACCCACTGATGTCCTCCCAAGCTCCCATCTCAGTGACTTTCGAAACTTTCCTGGAACAGCCCTGAAACAACCGCTGAAACCTGCTTTTAAGCGGCAAATCTTCAATCCAATTTGACTGCCAAAACGTCGTAGCATGACCTTCACAAATAGTGCAAGTCGTGAACTTGCAGAAGTCGACATGGAAGTCGTTGATTGAACTTGATAGAATATCCTTCATCCAAGGAGAGTCGAATTTCGAGCTACCGACGTCGGCGAAAGTTTGCACCTTCATACTCAAGTTATCATATATGAGAATGAGCGTTTTTCTCCAAATTTCATTTCCGCCGCTTTGGAACCTCCACAGCCATTTTGCTATAAGAGCACAATTAAAGTGACCTACATGTTTAATGCCAAGACCTCCGTGTTTCTTCGGCTTGCAGATGGAGTTTCAAGATATCCAAGAGATGAACTTTTTATTGGAATTCCCAGCCCAAAGAAAACGCTGTTGGATTGCGATAATATCGTTCACAATTTTCTTGGGAGCCTTGAAAAAAGCCAAGTAATGAATAGGCATGTTAGCTAAAATCGAGTTAATGAGGGATACTCTACCTCTCATAGACAAATTTCTCCCAACCCAATTAGATAACTTACTCCGCAGACGAGACAAAACCAGATTTTAAAAAGAGTGTCGACGATGACTTCCTCCTACCAAAAGACCAAGGAAATTGAACGGCAACCTGCCAGATTTACAGTGCAGAAATTCTTTAGGATTGAATACTTATATTTTACTAATAAGTTATTGTTTGAATTATGAATGGTATATATTAACTTAAATTCTTACCCTAAATATAAATAGATTAGCTTTTTCTTCCTGACTAAAGAATGTGAATTTTTAATAACTTATATTTAAATTTTTATCACAGAATTAACATCTCTCACTTGTGATATTGTCACCCTGATTTACCCATGCCCTTATATAAAAATTCTAATAGATATATTTTTTTTGTGTGCAGGAAACGTGTTGGAGATTTTTCGGTTAAAATTAAGCAGTTGGGTTTGAGGATCATGAATTTGATTAGTGAAGGACTTGGTCTAGAATGTGGATATTTTGACGACGATCTTAGCGGATCATTGATTATCTCTGCTAATCATTATCCACCATGTCCTAATCCGAATTTAACGCTTGGTTTAATCAAACACCGTGATGCTTACCTCATCACCATTTTACTCCAAGATAATATATCTGGTCTTCAAGTATTAAAAGATGGAGAATGGATTGGTGTTGAGGCTCTTCCTCATGCATTTGTCATCAATATCGGTTATACCTTAAAGGTATACTTAACAATTGATCTATACGCATCACATTTTATAAATATACTTCACTTAACAAATAACCATAGAAAATCATTTCATTAATTTCTTCAAATTTTGTTGACTTGGTTATAGATAATCAGTAATGGTAAGTTACAAAGTGCCGAGCACAGGGCTGTGACAAATTCAACTCATGCTCGTACGTCTGTTGCATTTTTTATAGCTCCATCAGGTGATTGTTTTATAGAGCCAGCCCAAGGTCTCATTGATGAACACAATCCACCTATTTTTAAGTCATTTAAATTTAAAGATTTCCTCTCACGATTCTTTGAAAAGCTTGGTGACGTGGAAAAAGTCATGAAATCCTTTGAGGAACCAGATAGAATATTATGAAAGACAAGTATCATTTGATAATGTATATTTTATTTATATTTAAGTATTTACTTACGGCAAGAAAACGTCCTTCAATAAACAATTAGTTTCCTATGAAACGCATATGGATTTAAACCATTACTTATGCTCAAATTATGCAAAAAATGGTTGTAATAATTTTCTAAAGTTTCAAGAAATGCAGATGTTAACTTATAGCAATTAACCTTTGTGAGGAAGTCCTTACATTTTAGGTCTTTTAAACCTAATATGTGAATTCTTAAATACACAATGGGTCATATAACGACCCGAATTTTTATTCTAGATATTACTTAGAAAATATTAAAATAAACTTGTTAAACTAGAAATTAAAAATTTTAAATTAATGAAATCCAGAGACATATCAAATTCTTCAGTAGAAAACACCTGCATTTTTACATTAGTCAAAAGATAATAATTAATAAACTTAAAAGAAAATGCAATCGTTTTATTACTACAAAAAATATTTTCTTTTTTTTTTCTTCATAAGAAAACCCTTCTTTTCTGTTATCTTGCAACATGCATAAAGGCAAGGTGGTGGTGATCATGGTTGTCAAGATCTCGATCTAGATCATAAAATCTTAAGATTTTACTATCTCACTCACCCCCAATGATCCGGATCTTAAGTAAAATCGTGTGTTGTAGCCAAATTGTGGGAAAAAAAGATGTAAAATGGTTGATTTTGTGCGATCTTTGCCAGTTTCGGGCATGATTGGTCATTTTCCAGCCACCACCAATAAAAGTGAGAAGGATGACAAGATGCATAGGCATAACAATTACGGTTTGGCGGGGATCAATGCGTGTCTTTTGAAAGGATGAAGTTTTAAATTTAGGGTTTAGAGAATAAACATCTGACCTATAATCTTAGTAATTGACCAAATATGTCCCTAATGTCTAACAAATGTTCCATGGTAGTCATAAGTATAATAACTCAATCATATATGTGTAAAAAAATATGAAAAAGAGTCATTTTCTCACGAATACATTTGCCTACGATTTTTGTTGCAATCTTATGTTTTACAATCTTGTTACCCCTTCTCGATCTTACAAAAAAAATTGGATAGGATCTTCCGATCTTAGCTACGATTTTATATTTTATGATCTTGTTATTCTCTCGCGATCTTATGTAAGAATTCTATCTTGACAACCTTGGTGGTGATTGAAAATAAGAATAAACCTCTAGATGATGACATAGGATGTAGCAATGGATTTGAGGTACTAGGAATGGGGATTGAGTTACAATTGTTTGAGAGTAAAGTCCCATGATTGTTGCTCGGAATACTAGGGGCATAAATAAAAGAGCAAGGCATATGGAGATTAGGTCCCATCTCAAGAACTTACAGGTGCCTTGTATTATTTTGTTGAAAACTAGATTAAAAGAGCATAATGCTAATAAAGTGAGACAAATTTTTTATTACTATTTGAGTTGGGTAGATAACTACGATCAACATCCTAATGGTAGGATATGGATCATGTGGAAGAAAACTTATATGATAATAAATAAGGTAGTGAGTGTTTCCCTTGAAAATTGAAAAACAACGGCTGATCTTTCAAATTTAATTTTGGTGACTCACAGGATCGATCAGATTGATCCTAGGACATGTGCTAAAAGGTTTCGTATTCTAGAATTTGCCTAAGTTGCACACTTCGACAATATTGGGTGAAAAGTATTAATGGTAGAATTGCTTATTAGACTGAAGAGAGGAAGAAGATAGAAATTTGGATAGAAAGAAATAAAAATCTTTAGAGGAAGAAAAAGGGTCCAAGGCAAAGTAAGAATGCATAAAAACTGGAAAGTATGGCGAGAAGAAAAAGAAAACTTAATAAAAGTAAAAGGACAAAGTAAACTTCATTGAAAAGTAAAACATGGTGTGTTTACATCACATACATTCTCCTTGATACTCTCTTTCTCTACACTCGGATACTTGGAGTAATTTTAGGAGTGACTTGTACAAAAGTAAATTACAACACCCTTAATTCAACCTCTAAAACTCCTATTTATAATAGAAGAAATAACTAACAATAACTTCCCAAAATCATCATCTTCCGACACATGTCGTGATGCATGGAGTCCTTCGTCCACCGGGTGCCACATGTCCTCTTAGTCATTACCGAATGAAATTACTCCCTCCAATTTATTTGAATTTCAAATCTTTAAGATAATCATCAAGCAACGTCTCGGTCGAAGCATGACCCTTCGAAGTTTCATGATTTTCCCAAAGTCGTCCAAATGTTTCGACTCTTCTTCTTCGTAGACCTTGAACTCTTTGATCAGCTTTTATCTCCAGCGAGATTTTGATGCTTTCTCTTAAATATCTTAACTTACAAGAGGTGTCGAATTTAGGACCTAACAAATTGCCCCCCAAAAAATGTCTTTTTCGACCCCTATGTAGAAAAAGCACATTTTTTTGACAGAATCTAATTCGACGTCGCTATTTCGACTCACACATGTCAATTGATATGCTTTGACCGACTAATGCCTGAGAAGATGAAAGGGGAAGAGAGAGAAAATGAAAATAGAAGAAACACGCAAGAAACTGCTCTGTCACCTTTGTGCACGTTCCTGACGTCATGGGTCATCATGGCAAATTTCTTGGAACTCACAACAATCACAAATCATCATCATTCTTTTAGAGCCTAGGGGATGTAGGTTACAACTGCCACCCCTATTTCTCCACCTCAGGACACACACGTGGCCCACTAACTCTAGCCACTTACGATGAAAGCTCTTGATTTCCAATACTTCATATAAATAACTTCCTTATGCATTATTTTTAACCTTTTCAATTCCCAGCAAAAACTCTTGCATTTTTCTTTCCAAATATCCTTTTCTTCCTAAGAACACTTCCTTCCCTAACTTCAACAATGGCTGAGCACCAGAATCAGAAGAAAAAGACACAGCCCAAAGGGCAATCCTCTACATCGGTCCTCCCTCCTTTCACCACCTTGAGTGGCCCCAAAGACGTGAAGAACTAACAATTCGTTCGCGAACCCTTGTTGGAGGAAAAACGCCATATCTACGAGTCCCAGGTAATCATCTTTATCACTGTTGCAAGTAAACCACTAGCTATGTATGGCACACTGTCTCCCTTAGGTCTTGATTATTCTAGTTTAAGCGACTTCTTTCCTTCTTATAGAACAACCAAACCCTTAGGGCAAAAGGATTCTAGCAAGATTCCCGCTGATGGTCCTGATAGTCTAGCTTCCTACAACATAGACCTTAAGTACCTTCATGACTGAGCTAGGTTGTTTATATGATTTACATCTGTTTATCGTATTTTGTTCTTTGGTAGTATTTTTTGTTGTTTTCAGATTTTAATAAGTATTTTAGGCGAAAGAGGAACAAAAACAAGCAAAGTGCAGGAAAATGTCAAAAGTCAAAAAATCCCAATACAAAATTCAGAGGGCTGCTACGGGCCGAGAAGCCAAGCCCTAAAGATGCCTTCCCCATTTGATGTATCATATAAAGACAAAAGGCCTGCTACGGCCACCCGTAGTAGCTGCTACGGGTTATAGTAGGAGGGTAAGTTGTTTCTTGGTTCCTTTTCTGTTTTGATCGATTTCATCTATTTTAGGATTCTTGCATATTTAGGTATGATATTTTCTGATGTAATGACTATTGATTAGTGAGATATTGATCCCAGTTTAGATTTTTTTATAAAACTAATAGGTAGTCTTAAGTTTAGGGATCCAAGTTTTATTTTCTCAGTTTCTACGTATTCTGCATTCTCTCTATACTCAAGTCACCATTGGAGCACTGAATGAATGTTTATTCAATCAAGTTTGCTTTATTGTTTTCAATTCAATTATTTATCTATTTTGAATTGTTTATCATGAATTTCGTTATGAATATTGTCTTGATTGCGTTTTCCCTCACCATGAGTGAGTAGTCCATTAGGGACTAGAGGTCATGGGGTTTATCTCATGACTATTTGTATGATTTGTCACAAGTCGATCACTGAGTCTTTTGTCCATATTTATTTTAATACCTGAGTTCATGCATTCCAATTCTTGTACGAAAGTAAAGTGTTCTAAAGTACTGATCGTAGCCTGAAAGGATATGTATCAGCATCAGAGCATAGGTTTTTAAATAAACGAGTTCAATACAACGAAAGTGGTTGGATGAGTATGAGAAAATTTCTAATTTTATAGTTGAACAAAAGTAACGAATAATCTGGTCGAATGAGAGCCAATAAATTATTTGTCATCAATAGGGCAACATGCTGGCGAAAGCAAGCGGGTGTTGACCATATTTATCTATTTTATATAAATTTTGTTAGAACTCTCCTGATAGAAGTGACTTCGATCGTACAGATGTGTCCGAGTAAGAACCATGATCTTAAGTCTTGTTTGTCTCCATTGTGATTTAAATAATTTTCAAGTAAGTTGTTTTTCAGATTAATGCTTTTTTATTTAAACTATTTTTACAAAACCTTAAGTTATTGATCTCTCTAGATATATATTGATAGAGAGGAATTCAGTACTCAATCCTTTGGACTTTGTGATTCGATAATCTTTACTACTTCGCACAGTTGTGCACTTGTGACGTGTCAAAAAAATTTGTCTGCACTTGCAATCTTCCCAGATCTGTTCCAAGCTTTCATTATCAATGTTTTTATGGAAAACACTTTCATTATAAATGTTTGAGTTTCACAAGATACCGTCCGAGATATATAGTGGCGGTGCTCACGTTCTTATTGGATATAGAGAGTTTCTTGTGGATTGATGTGTTGACAATATCTTGGGCGTTGTTACTTTATGAACGTATGACACATATTCGTTGTTGGTTAACTGAGTAACTATACCCCTCGGTTCTTTTATAAAACTGTTGAGAAAGGTTATTTCATTATTAATTAAAAAAAAATTGAAAGTAATATATTATTTGCACACAGAAACGGTAAATGGTAAAAAATTGAAAGTAACATGTAATGTTTCTTTTTTTGATTTTTTACCATTCGCCACATTCTTTGTGTGTAATTTACAGA